ACAAATGTGGTGGATACATAGAACTGAATATGATTCAGCCATAAAAGTGTGAGGCATTTCAAAAGTACTGTGCTAAGTAAGAGGAAAACAAAATGTCACCCATTTCATGACTCCATTTGTGTGTGTGGTGTATATTGGTGAGTCCCTGGTGACAGAAAGCAGATTGGTGTGGTCAGGAGCTGGGGGTGTGAATGGGAATGGGAATGAGGAGTCCTTCTGGGGGCGACAAACACATTCTGAATCTAGCAGATGGGCAGCAACCCCACGTTGTGGGTGTAGTAAGTGCCAATAAACCACCTGGCAAAGTGGGGGTTTTATGGAACATGAATTTATCTCAATGAAACATTTACTAGAAATTGAAGGAAGTGCTCCCCTTTCTACTCTTCAATGCTTTACAATCTTCTCAGCAGACAGAGTAAAAGCTTGTAAGGTTTTGAATCTATGTATTTTTTTTTCCCGTATAGGCAAGAAAAATCTTTCATATTTGAAATCTTTCAGATCTTTCATATTTGTGTAAGAGATGTTTCTGTCTGGTTCTTCTTCAGTGTATTTGATATAGGGTCTTACTATGCAGCTTGGACTCACAGTGATCCTCCTGTTTTCAACCTCCCTACCACTGGAATTACAGATGTATATCACCATGTCCGGACTTGGTCACTGGCTCAGTGCATCCCAGGGGGCAGGCCAGCACATCATGTGGGACTGGGGATCAAACCCTGGTCCCTCTGTTGCCAAACCAGGTGCTTAGTCTGCTAAGCTATCTAGCTGGCCCTTAAGTCTGGATAATAAAAACTTGTTTTAAACATTTCTCAGTATAAAAATATCTGCTTTGCTTTATGGTGTAGGATACCAAGAATTCAATCATTTATTGATATATTAGAGAAGAGCAATGTTTTTGCCAGTGGACAAATAGGCCTCATTCCTCTCTGAAGACTTTGGTCCACATTTGACGGTGTGTGGTGTGGCCTTCTAGAAGAGGGTGGACTCTGGATGCATCCCTGAGTTTGCACAAGGGGATCTTCTGGGAGTCTATGATGTAAGAAGACATTGGCTTGAGGTCCTGGGCTTTGTCTCTGACCCGCTGATTGCCAGCTGGAGAGGGAAGGAAGAGGAATGATGTTCTTGTGACTCACACAGTCAGCCATACTGAGCAGGGCTATGGAGACCATGACTAGGACTTGGCCCCAGATGCACCTGTGAGCTCCCCGCCCAAAGGCGGTGCTGTGACCACTTGTGGCTACTTGACTCTGTGAGTCTACACTAGGCCTGATGGGTCCCCCGGGAAGAGCACATCCTGTAGCCTACAGCTCATGTTTCTTTCGTTCAATGACTAGGGAAGAGATTTACATTTGCAGATTTTAGAAAAGAGACTTTTTTGGCATAGATAGCACACACTTCACTGAATTCTAATGTAATCTTGCTTCTAATTCACAACTGTGTATAAATCATTTTCTTCTCCTTCATTCATTAAATAAAATAAATTTCACTTAACTTTGTAGTGGGCCATATGTATTCTACAGTCAATAAAATTTATTTCCTTGGAATAAGGTGTAGACCCATGCTCCATGTCTCTACTACACCGAGAGAGAGTAGTGTAGACTGTCTTCCCACCATGTGTGCAGTTACACATACACACCTTCACAAACCCAGCCAGAGAACCCCCTGTGTGTTGTGCCTGCAGTTCATAATCCAGGGTCCAGTGTCTTTAGAGATGAGCTCTTTCTATTAAAATTCACCACCTAACATTTTGATTCCGAGCTGCGCATCAAAACCCGCCTCACAGCTGCCTTCACGTCCTTGTTCCGCAGACTGTAGATGAGTGGGTTCAGCACAATATAGAAGAGCACCACCACCTTGTCCTGCTCAGTGGAGGCCCTGGAGCAGGGCTGCAGGTAGATGAAGAGGGCCATCCCATAAGACATGGAGACCACAGTGAGGTGAGAGGCGCAGGTCTCAAAGGCTTTGCAGCGTCCCTGGGTCGAGTGGATCTTCACGATGGAGGCTACAATGTGCACATAGGACAGAGTGACCAGGCAGCAGGGCAGCAGCAGCACCACCACGCTGGAGGCCACAATGACCACCTGGTTGAGGCTGATGCCTACACAGGCCAGCCTGACTAGTGCCATTATTTCACTAGCCACTGAAAACAAAAATAGCTATAGAATCCAAATAGTCCATCTCTTTCATTTTGTGAAGGTTCCAGGGGAACATGAACAAGGTGCTTTTCCAGGTTCTAGTTCTACTTTGTAACCAAGCTGGAGTCGGGTTCAAGCCTGTTCCAACTTGTCAGCTTTTGCTGGGCCCATTAGCAAGAGGCCAGAAAGAGCTGTGGATCCACATGGGCTGGGAAAAGGAGCAGCCTGAGGAATCCTGTAAGTGGAACTCGGGACGGCCTTGCCACCTGTGGAGAAGCACTGTGTAGTGACTGGGGAGAGCTGCCCGTGAGGAGTGAACAGAGTGGCGTCCTCGACGGCTGCCCCCTTGCCCTATTCTGGACAACTTCCTGCACCTCCACTTCTTCACTGAAAGTGCTGAACAATCATATTGCTACTTTACAATATTGTGAGTAAGAAGAAGAAACAGATAAACAAATGTAAATGAGTGTCTTGTTAGAATTTTATTGAAACAGAAAATTTAGAAATTGTCTTGGCTGCTTTTCTCTCATTGCTGGGACAAAATGCCAGAAACCCAAAATTAAGAAGGGGAAGGTTTATTTAGCTCACAGTTTGTAGAGATTTCAGTCTGTACTCAGGTGGCTCCAAGACCGAGTGGTACATGGAGGAGGGCAGCAGTTCATGGCAGTGGAAAGCAGCAAAGAGCAAGGGAAGGAGCAGCGGCTGCAGCAGCTGGCAAGCCCCTCTCCCTTCCTTCTGTTGTATTCAGGTATCTGCCACAGGGCGGGTGTAGCACTCGCACCCATAATCCCCACATTGAATCATGAATTAATCACAAACTCTAAAAGCTGCTTCAATGACTGCATGAGCTTTTTTGGGGGACCACTATGCACAAACCAAAACAGAAATTTTAAAGAAAATTATAGATTCTATACATTGTTTCTATAGTTTCCATACTTAGTGCTTCCGTATTAGTATTATATATTCTGCCCCATGATATGAGGACAAAAGACAATATGAATGTGTACCTTCAAGTTCAGAAAGTGAACAGTTTGGAAGCTACAAAGCCTCTTTATAATGAAGTCTATTGCTCAAGCCACTTAATCATAGAAACCCTGCTCAGTGAAGAACTAAGACTGGGTGTTCTTCTACCGCTGTGTGTGCACTATGCATGCGTTACCTTCTATTCCAGTACAGTGTGGATGCTGATTTTAGGGGATAATAAACTACTCTCACCTATTGATAGTGTCATCCTCAGCTCTTCGGATGATCACAGATTTTCATTCCACTGTTCCTAATTTCATGAACATGTATTGCACCCTGGCTAGCGTGTTGTCCAGGGGCAAGTGTTAGGGTGAATGCAGGGGGTGGGGGTGAGATAGGAGCTCAGTTTGGCAAGGACGGCAGGGAAGGTGAGTCAGCATGGCCTCAATGGCCCTCGCCAGAAGCTGCACTTCCAGTTGGAGAGACTCCAACTGCACTGCAAGTTGGAGACACAAAGTCTGGTCATGGCAACAGGCAAGCAGCTGTGTAATAAGACAGAAAAGTCAGAACCGCTGCCTTCACTTTCTGGAATGTAGATGTGGTTTAGGGTACACTTAGATAATGAGATCTCACTTTTAGTGTGCATTAATAATCCATGAATATATTCCAGGGTCGAACGGTATATTTCAAGGCACAATTTCTAGAAGTAGAATGGGCAAGTTGGATGAAGAATAAACATTAAGATTTCTTCCACATCTAAAGATTTGCCACAAGTGAAGGTATGAGCCTTTCTTTTTATATTGCCCATTTGGAGCAGTATGAAAGGAAAAAGTAAAGCTTTCCCATGTAATTACTCTTGGTGTACACAGTGAGTGGAATTGGAGGTACTAAGATATTAAGGGTTATTGAATGTTGGGGTGAAAGTATTAAGATCCCACTGCCAGCGGTTGGACAGATGCAGATAAGTAGGGCCCACTGACTCAGCAACCAAAGACAAGGGCGTAGGGGTGGGGCCACCCACCCAGAAGGGGGGACCACGTGCGCCAAGGCTGAAGCGGCAGCAGCCTTCCACTCTGTGGGCGTCTTCTGAAGTTCTCATCTACTAGTTGGGGTGATGGGATGATTTGGGTTTCCTCTGACAATGCTTCTCACAAGACAGGGCTTAATTTTACAAGAACTCATTTATGCTTTTTTAATTTTTAATTTTTCCCCCATAATTTGATTGAGAAACAAATAGCAATGAGATAGTCTCAAACCAAATTGGTAGGACAGTTTCAATAATTAACACATTGCATACATTCTTCCTAGTGGTTAATTGCTGTACAAGATGC